AAGGAAAGAAAGAAAGAAAAAATCTTTTAAATGAGTGAATGAATGAATAAATTTATTTAATAACGAAACCTCCTCGACCACCATCTGTAAAGCTTTTCGTGAGAAACCTTAGATCAATAACGAATCACTAACTAAATTAAAAAACCCAAAAGTACAAGAAATTTTTTAGGATCAGTTTGTGGACAACAAAACCTCAGCAAATTATGCTGTTAAACCAAAATCAGGGTTTGATTTAGTGTGGCTACAATTGTTTTTGATTGAATTTTTTTCGTCGTTTTTTGGTTAAAACGGGAAACCACATATTTTTGATGAAAAGGAGAATTTTCAAAACTATATGCGATGATAAGGCATTAGAAAAGGGTATCAAACGCGCGACAAAAAAGTACCCATTTCCTGCTAATTTTCCCTCAGTCGTTTCTATCAAGAACTTTTTCAAAAAATCACGGCTCTGACTTCTCATCGCAGGCTCACTTGCTCACTGCTAGTAGTGGGTATAAAATCCTTAAAGAAGAATAGTAACAACAGCTTGCCTTACGACACTCAGAAAAAATATTTCACTTGCCATTGAGAAAAATGTATTGCTAAACTAAGAGAGGATTGGTAAGTGAGTCTGCGGTTAAAGAACACAGCGGTAATAGTACGTTCTTTGAGTGCACGTAAGATTGTCTATTCTTAACTGGAGCTAAGTTAAAGTCAAACTTAAGTTAAACTGGCAAATAATTTAAACATTACCTACTAATAAAAATTCTATGGAATGTCGAGTGGCTAGTTTACATTAAAATCTGTTGCAATATGAGATTATGATCCACGGATGACCAAAACCAACGCGAGCTCATTAAATGAGAATTCTACATTTTCTACCAATTTTAAATTGAGTTCTATACGCATGCTTCTCCAATGTTGACCAAAATACACGCGGGCTCATTAGATGAGCGTTCCTACCAATTTATTATTTTTTTAAAAGTGTTTTCAGCATGCGTCTCTTTAATGTGGGTAACACTGCTGACACAAGTACTCATGGGTTGTCGTCGCAATTCCATTGGGGGTGTTGGTATGGATTTCTTGTTTGCGCTTGACCCTCCGGTTTTGGAACCATATTTTGACTTGCTTTTCAGTCAAGTTCAACATCGAAGCTATTTTTGTTCTCTCGCTCTTTTGGAGGTACTTTTTAGCCAGGAAGCATCGTTCTAGGCCTTGTCGTTGTAGTTGAGTGAACACTGGTCGAGGTCTTGGTGGCTTTCTCTGTGAGTGATAGGAATTCGACGATGGAGTCACTAGAAAAAAAATACATTTTCATTAACTGAATTGTTCTAACATAAATACGTAAAAAAGAATATTAACTGTATATTACAAGTTGAAAGTTAAGAAAGCTGGAGTTCGACACAATGAGATGGATCAAGAGAATATGAACTAAGAGAAGGAATCCCCGTGCCCCATCATGTGCGCACTTTGATGCTAGCTATTTTTAGAATCTATTCTAAAAATATCATCCAATGATATCATTTATTTTATCGTTTGGTCTTCTGCACGCGCATAGTACGCGCGCGCTCTACGCTGTTTGCTAACGTTTTCTTGTGCTTTTCTTGTGTTCAAATGTTCAAATCTGCCCTCAAGATGACGATGCAGGTCGAAAGCTCTGGGAAATAAATGTAAAAATACTTCAGAAAGTTGAAAAAATTGCTACTTCAATTTCCTGTCGTATTTGCCAAGCTTTCGACGTGCACATTCATATTCAGGGCAGAGTCGAAATAACGGAAAAACCCCAAAAACGTAAGCAAACAGCGTAGAGCGCACGCAGTAAATGCGCGTGTAGAAAAACAAATGGTTTGAAAATAGCATCAAACTGTGCACATGATGGCTACAAGGCTATATAGGGGGAATTCCTTCTCCTAGTTCATTTTCTCTCGGATGGATCGATTAAATTTAAATTTTTGTTAAACGCCAAGTTTGAAAGTTATATATTTTTGTGGCTTCAAGTCCGTAATTCTTTACCGATAAACATCTAATTATTCATTAAAATTAAAACTATACTGTTAATTTTATTTATTTGTTTATTTCTCTTATCTGTATGTAATGTTGGGAAACAACGCGTTAGTTCGTAATAGTTTYCTTCCATAGGTTTTGTTAGTAAGTCGCAAAGATAGAAATTGTCAAAAATCGAAATTTTGGTATGAAACGATTCGTTGGAAGGGCATCTTTTGCCTCGAGCAAAGGATATGGAAAGGCGTAATCTTTACTTACTTGGCTGACTAGTCGTGGTACCACTAAGTATCGCTTCAATGCCAAACTTCAGCTTTGGAGTTACAGTTTCAGGGTTTGAAATTTCATCATCTYCTTCAAGATCAAGATTTTTGTCCTTAACGTCGTCGACTTCAGCTGTAACTCTACTCAACTCATTCTCCAGACTCAGCTCCTCGAGAAGTGGTTTAGGGATAATCCTGATAGGTGTCGTATGCCACTGCGTGCTCGTGCGTAGTGGACACAAAGGAATAGGCCTGATGGGATACATTGGAGTGACATGGCATTGCTCCTCTACGAACCAGTTTGGATTCATTCGCTTAAACGTATAAATTCTACTTATAGTGACTGGTTTTTGCAAGGTTGCTGTAGCTGTAATTGCTCGGACGGTCAAAGTCTAATTTAAGATGAGGTATATGTGACTAAAAAACTTATGTCTCATTGCTTGACCAGGTGATTGGCTAATTKGATATGGAAAGTCTAGCTCGGGAATGACTCGAATATCAAAATTGTTTATGATTAGTCCAATCTAAAAACTGATTGAAGTTTGTTAGCTCAACAAATAAACAATGGGGGGTTTAACCCACGGGGGTGGGGGACGGGGGATGCACTTCCGACAGGGAAGGGCCTGCAAGGGGCGGAGAACATAACCAAAAGCTGCACGTGCAAGGGATTCTGAAATTTATAGTATGGGCGCGCAAATGACTAATATAACCCAAGTTGCTCTAATTCCCAGGCAGAGGGTGAAAAAATAATTCTTTTCTCTTGATGATCGATGTCGTTTATGATGCTTTGATCTTCAGGTTGCGATTGAGTAAACTGGAGCGCAAGTTGTTTGTGGTGAGATCCTCTTCTACCACTCGTCCATCAAAGATTTTTTGTCTCTGATCTTTAACTAATGATATATCATTCTTCGCATGCTTACTTATGATACTTTTTCTATTTTGACTCTTTGATGATTGAAGGGTTCTCCTTGAACAAGCATTCTCCAAGCTACACAAGATAACACTGATTTCTACACTCGGAAATTCTCAAGTGCTTGGACTATTTTCCGTTGTGTTTACATTAGGCCAGAATATACCCTGATTTTCAATATAATACCAGCTATAAATAGTTGTGAATAGCCTCATTTTTGGCTTGGTTTACCTTAGGTCAGTTTAGCACAGCTCGCGTGTCTATAATTGTACACTGACACAAACATCGGCTTACTGAAAATCATTTTGTGTGGTAGTCCTTGAATGAAGATTATTTATTATTATCATAAACAATCGTTACGCTATTTTTTTAAATGTCGTTCTTGTTACACGAGGGTAGCACTTAATAGCCAGTGGCTAACAAACCTGTGGCACTCGTTCCATGATCGAATTGGAATTTTATCCTCGATTTTGTTTGTTTTATTTAAACATATTTTGTCGTTACATTAACCCCAAGAGCGTAACGCTCATCGAGGGGGTCTATGTTGATTTTTTATCAGAGGGATGAAAATCGGCCTGGAAAAAAACCCGAAGCACAAGAGAAAATAAACTAGAAATGTTACTCATATAAACACCGAGTTTGAGTTATGAACCCGGGTCGTGAGAGGCGAGCGCTTTCACCGGTACGCTACCCGCGCTATCAGTGGTTTTTAAATAATGTTGAACTATGGACTCTTGCCCGTTTAGGGTAGGGATGTGCATGCCGCTGAGCCCTCTGAACCCTGACCCTGTTCCAGAGTAAAATCGCTGAAATTCAGACCCTGTTCCAGAGCAAGATCGCTGAAAAGCATAACATTTTCCGGTAGTGCGAAAATAGATACCCTGTTCCAGAGAGGAGAGAGCGTGATTTCATATACCCTGTCCCAGAGCGAGCGCGATTTTATATACCCTGTTCCAGAGTTGAATCGCTGAAAACCATACCCTGTTTGGCGGCACGTACCCGTATAGCAAATATTGGGGAGTACTACCTCCCCCTCCCCTGGGAGAGTATACTAGAACCTTCAGAATCAACTCAAAATGGAGGCTAAAAATATCGTATAGAAATCATAAGCCCTCTTTTTTCCTCGAGGGAATTTTAGCTAATTTTATATTCAGTGTTGTGAGATAAACGGTCGTAGCATAATCGAGTGATGTTTTGACCTACAATCTTGAAGTGCGTGCTGCCCTATATCTTTCCTAATGGAGAATTAAGACACTCGCTCGAACTACAGCGCGCGAATCTGGTCTGTCAAAACAAAAATATTATTTTTTTGATTGTGGAGGAGAGTTCAACAGTTTTTCTAGATATTTTAATTAATTTTTTCTATTTCTGATAACCTCGAAGGTTTTCTTTGTAATTCAGAATAAAAAATAACAATATATAATAAATATAAACTTTATTTGAAGTTCACCTCTTGTCTCGTCAATCAAAGCCGACCGTAGGTAGACCGTATCTTAAATAAACTACCTCTAAAAAAGATCTGTTTTTATAGTATTTGTAGCGAAAGATAAAGGGTTAGAGAGAACTGAGTGCGCTAAAAATGGGTGATGGCTCGGAGATCGGTGTAGCGGCAATAATACTGAGCTTTAAGCTCAACTTCGCAATACTTTGATATTTGAAACATAGCCTATATAAAAACTTTTCCAGCTTTTCTTTTCTTGTGCAATCGACGTCTACTTTCTAAGTTATGCCAAAACTGTTGTTAAGAAAAATAAGTAAGTTTGATTGATGGATTAGCCATAATATCAGAACATGTACGTGCAGTGTTGTGACTCCACAGATCCCATAAACACGAAAAACTCTCTCTCTAAACTCAAGACAAGTATTTGTTCTGCATATTTGTTAACTGGGTTTTACGATTCTTAGAAGCTGAATTAGGGATTCTTCTTCAATAAGCATCGCCATTAGTGAAAGCTTTCATGAGTTCCTGATTTTTCCGCGATGGCTTCGTTGAACGCAAGTTTTGGGTACGAGTTTTAACTTTTAACAAACAAACAAAAAAAAGCATACAAATAAGTTTCTATAGTTTAAAATAGTGGCGCACGGCTTTCCTGATGACAGAGTCTCCCGTAGCTAGTGAGAAAATGACTTCGGGATACTCTTTTAGCAAGGAATGCAAGACCTGAAAATTTTCACTTTAAAAAATTCGAAGAAGACTTCGCAATCTCATTACAAAAGCGTTTGTTTGTTTATTTTCTKGTTGGGGTGTTGGAATTCATGGTTAACGTTTATTTTCGATAAGACGATTAAACACTTTGACGACGAATTAACATGAAGCAAACTTTCAAACGAGGTTATCTCATCGCGAAACAAATTTATTACCTAATAGTACGAATTACCTGAATTCCTATAAAAGAATATTTTGGCAGTCCTAACTTTTCATTTTCTAAGCATACTTTCTAGTGATAGCACATGATAGTGTTTGSCTGTCACCGAAATACTGATATAGCAATGTTATTTCCTGAAGTTAACTGTTTAAAACACCGTCTAGTCTTTCCTTCCTCTATAACCCAAAATAAGAGAAAGTTTTCTTAAAATAAATAATCAATTTTAGTTTTCTYTAATATCTTAAAGTAGATAGAGCTTTGGAGACGTAAAATGATCTTGTGCAC